TTTATTGGGTTATTGGTTCGGTTTCCGATTTTATGATTTTTGTTAATGGTTAAACCGATAACCCAATAAGAGTATACTAAATTTACTAGTCTTATTGTTAATGGTTAAACGATTGTTACTTTCACACTTTTTGTTAATGGTTAAACGATTGTTACTTTCACACTTTTTGTTAATGGTTAAACGATTGTTACTTTCACACTTTTTGTTAATGGTTAAACGATTGTTACTTTCACACTTTTTGTTAATGGTTAAACGATTGTTACTTTCACACTTTTTGTTAATGGTTAAACGATTGTTACTTTCACACTTTTTGTTAATGGTTAAACGATTGTTACTTTCACACTTTTTGTTAATGGTTAAACGATTGTTACTTTCACACTTTTTGTTAATGGTTAAACGATTGTTACTTTCACACTTTTTGTTAATGGTTAAACGATTGTTACTTTCACACTTTTTCCTTTGAATGTGTCTAGTGTCTAAACTTGCAAGAAAAATGATTGTTACTTTTATGATTATTACTTTCATGCTAAATGCTAGAAATATGGTTTATATGAAAATTTTCTTATCGTGTATATAATATATATGAGTATTTTCTTATTGGTTAAACCGAAAACCGAACCGTTAAGTACCATAAACCGATTAACTAAAAACCGATAAGAAATATGTTATTGGTTTGGTTATCAGTTTGACGTATTTACAAATAAACCGAACCAATAACACATAAAACCAAACCGAACCGACCGATGCGCACCCCTAATGTCTAGTTAGAACAAGAAAGTTCCAATGTAAGTGTAAACATAATTTTAAGAAAAATATGTTGTTTGTTTTTTAGAGACTGGAGGGCATCAGGAGTTCATTTATAGCAACAGAACTAGGGCAATAGTAACCTATGTTGCTTGGACTCTTCAAAAATGTCGACAGGTGCATGTCGGATCCTCCAAAAACAGTGTATTATCTTTGCTTACCAACTCATTTGGTTCGCTGTGCAGCACCTTTTGCCTACCAAGTTTTTGTTTTGGGATGGCTATAGTTTTGTGAATTACGCGTTCCCGCTATGGGCATTGTAAAGCTCAGAAACTCTGTATACTTCAAGCTCTCTTCTGTTATATGTTGCTGATAGCCCATAGATCTGGTCAGGCCAGGGTACATTATCCTTTAGGAAATGAAAAATGAAATAAGCACAACTGTCACTTTTATCCCAAGTTCTTATACTTGCTCACTTACTCATCAGTGAAGAATTCAAGATTATACGACTTATTCATGTTTTCATCTTTTGACCTTGTTTAGTTGTAGAAGTTTATTCCTTTTTATCTCAACAGGGAATGTGTATTCTTTGGCTCACCACAATAATTCCACAACTCCGGCCTTTACCTTGCGGTCAGCATCAACATGGTTGTGATGGAACAACAGCAGTCCAACTTGCTATACTTTTGTGTTCTTTTGGGCTTATTTCCATCGGTACTGGTTTTAATAGACCTTGTTCCATAGCATTTGGTGCTGACCAATTGGAGAACAAAGAAAATCCAGATAACGAGAGGCTTATAGATAGCTATTTCAACTGGTATTATGCCAGTGTAGGAATTTCACTTGTTCTTGCTGTTACTGTAATTGTTTATATCCAAGACCATTTTGGTTGGCAAATTGGGTTTGCTGTCCCTGCTTTGCTCATGATTATATCTGTTTCCATTTTCTTGATCGGATCTCCTCTTTATATCAAAGCAAAAGCTAGAGGGAGTTTGTTCACTGGATTGTTTCAAGTAGCAGTGGCAGCCTCCAGAAAAAGACATATCAATGTTCAGTTGAATAATAATGACGACTGCTACTATAGAGAACCTGAATCGAACCACCTGGAACCATCTGCTGACTTCAGGTATAGGCGCCTCCATCTTTTCTTCAATGGTATAGACATCTTCAACATCCATTCATGCACTTACTATCTTGCAATATTAATTTGTTATATTGTATTACATGATGAACTCGTGTGATGTGTTTAGTTAACTAAGCAAATTGAAGGGTTTTCATTTACCTATCTCATACTTGTTTGACGTATATTAAAGGAAATGAAGAGTTCATGAAAATAGCTACTTGATTCGGGTGTGTTTGGGACAATTTTTTGTTGTTTGGTTTGTCAAAATTTAAAAAAAAAACATTTTTTTCTTAGAAAAACAAGTTCCTTAAAAATAAGGAAAATGACTTTCCTAGTGGAAGTAGGAAAAACAAGTTCCTTAGTGACATTCCACTTTGATTATCTCCTCCTACTCTTCCACACCCGTACCGCACCCCCATCCTGTTTGTCTAGATTATATACAAATATTTTTGTTATAATATTTAACGTGAAAACATATTCCTTCACACCTAACGCACTCAAATTGTTAGTTATCTGTCAATTACTTTAACTGAAAATGTGTTTTCAGTATCATACTTCTAGTAATGGGCATACACTCACTCATTGTATATTATAGGTGTTTGAATAGAGCTTGCATAATTGAAGATCCTCACATGGAATTGAAACCTGATGGAAAAGTTTCAGATCCATGGAATCTCTGCAGTGTGGAACAAGTGGAATTATTGAAGTGTTTTCTTAGAGTTCTTCCCATGTGGTCCACCTGTCTTGTCCTTCTTGTGGCGATAGGTCAGACATTTTCGATATTTCAAATGATGACCATGGATAGACATGTATTCTCTCTGTTTGAAATCCCAGCAGGATCATTTGGCATAATTACCCTTATTGCTTGGACAATCTGGGTTGCTCTTTACGATCGTATTTTGGTGCCTTTGCTGTCGAGGTATACTGGACATCCCACAGGACTAAGTCCTGTTTCTAGAATGGGGATTAGCTTAATTCTAGGCTGCATGGCTACTGCACTTCAAGCAATAACAGAAACCATACGACGCAATAAGGCAATCGAGGCAGGGTTTGAGGATGACCCCAACGCTGTATTAAACATGTCCTGGATGTGGCTCGTGCCACAGTTTGCCCTATACGGGGTGGCTGAGGCTTTTAATGTGGTTGGACAGATTGAGTTCATATACAGTCTATTTCCGAAAAGCATGTCCAGCTTTGCATCAGCTATGTACACATTTGGCCTTGCTATTGCCAGCTTAATTAGCAGTTTCTTGGTGAGCATGGTGGATAATGTTACCTCAGCCGGAGGCAACACAAGCTGGCTCGCGAGCAACATAAATAGAGGTCACCTAGATTACTTTTATTGGCTACTTACTTTCTTAAGTTTCATTAACTTGCTCTATTTTATGGTCGTTTATCGGTTTACTGAGCATCATCATGATGGTAGGAACAGCTTATATCATGAGGCAGAAGAGTGAGAGTAGCCTTTAACATGGTGCTTCATTGTAACATGTAATAATGTAGTAAATCTTGAAAACACTAGTATTCCTCATGTAATAGCTTACTATTTTGCGTATTTTAATGGTTACCTTATGAATTTTTCCTCATCTGTTCCTTTCCATTGTTCAGTATTTGTATTTTTCAGTGTGTGGTCCTTATTTTACCATCTCTAATATCTTCTTGTGACACATGTGTTGTATATATCTTTGGTTCACCTGTCTCTTTCTATTCTTTGAACTATTATAAAGTGTTTTTGGTAAAAACAATTCACTTTCTTGATATTATCATTTGCTTTGTCATTAAGCCCCTTTATGACACATTAAATAATTGGTTAAATGTTGCATTCATTTTAGTATAAATTATAGGAACCACATATTATAAGTGTTAAATAACATCCTATCCCTTCTAGTTTTCTATTTACCAAAAATCCCTTAAAAATGATGTTTGCGGGATACATAGCGTTGTGCACGGGATACATTAAGTTTGATACATTTCACATAGTTTTTGAAATAAGTAGGGATAAATGGATATTAAGGTAAGTACATAGCGTTGTGCACGGGATACATTAGGTTTGATACATTCCACATAGCGGGATACATAGCGTTGTGCACGGGATACATTAGGTTTGATACATTCCACATAGCGGGATACATAGCGTTGTGCACGGGATACATAGCGTTTGATACATTTCACATAGCGGGATACATAGCGTTGTGCATAGGATACATGCGGGATACATAGGTAAAATAAGGGATTTTTGAAATTTTTGAAATAAGTAGGGATAAATGGATATTAAGGTAAGTAAAGGAGTGTAGTTAAGTAATTTGTCCTTCATTTTATTGCAACTTTTCAACTTTATCTGCTTCGTAGGAATGGAGGAAAAAATAAATAAATTTGCCATTAAAAAAGAGAGCTTGAAGTAAAAAAATGATGGTACAACTTTTGTACATGTATAAGAATTTTAAGCAATCCAATTTTAGCACACGTTGGTTATAGAATTTGAGACCTCAAATTCAAGTTTTGATTTCAAATTGATATATCAATATTTACTTGTCCATTTTTTACTTGACATGCATATTAAAAAAAAAAAAATTGACCTAATGAGTTTATCATTTTACCCTTATTAATTGATGGAATTCTAAAATCAATTTACTCATTAAGGAGGTTCTATCTTTTTCAAAAACATTAACTGTCTAAATAAATTAAGAGTATAATAGGTAAAAAAAATTGTTTTTTCTTGATTTGTCAAAATTGGACAAGTAATAAGGGACAGAGAGAGTAATACATAACACATGCATCCTATGTGGCATAATACACGTAGGACATAAATTGTCATGTATAACATGTGTGTCTATTTGTTCAATTTTATATACTACTTGTGCACACCAAAAGTCGGAGGACATAAATGTGAAACAAGGTCAAGTTAAAGGGTATATTTATGTATTTTCAATATCAAATCTCAAAAAAAATTAAAATGATGGAAGTCAAGCTTCAAATTGTGATTTTAATATTTTAAATGTAAAACTTAACCTATGAGTTGATGATTAAGGTAATGAGTTTTTAGCAGTTTGCAGAAGACCCGGAAACTGATACATTATTTTTAGCAGTAAAAAACACAGCACATGGGCATGCATTGACTGCTTGCAATTGTCCTAATCTTATTTATGACTTTATGAACTCAAACTTCACATGCTTGTCTCACACCAATATTGTTAATTCTTGATTCATTCTTGAAACTTGAGTTATTTAGAATTGAACAAGGTATAACATTTTATCTTCTTTTATTATTTGGAAATGTTTATTTTCTGATTCATTCATGTAGTCGATCCTAACGTGCTTGAGATTCGGATATAGTAGTTGTAACAAAATTGTTCTGTTTGTCCTTAGTTATTGGAGTGTTTTTGAATCATAGTGAGTAGTCATTTTGATTTCTTGTCTTAGATTATTGTTGTGTTTTGATGAATGAACAGATGGATGAGTTAGGTCCTACATTAGAAGTATCAGTTTCATTTGGAAAGTATGAGAATGATGCACTTTCTTGGGAAAAATGGTCATCTTTTTCCCCAAACAAGTATCTTGAAGAAGCTGACAAGTGTAAAACATCTGGATCAGTAGCTCAGAAGAAGGCCTATTTTGAAGCACACTACAAGAAGATTGCTACTCAGAAAATGGAGCTGGAAAAAATGGAACAAGTTGAATCTTTAGACGAACCCCATATCCAAGATCGTAGTGAAAGCACACATGTTTTCGATACTGATAGATGTGCTACACAAGGTGAAGAGGAAATGACAAGAGCTGATATGAATAATAGTGATTCTGTTGATATGGAGGTGAATAGCTTGTTGGTTCTCAAAGACAAGGAAGGGGAAATCTTGGACCATGGAGAAGTTCCCAATGTTGAACAACACAAGAGTTGTGAAATAGGATCTCAAGATAATCTCAAAGAGATTTCACAAGTGGATAATGAAGCAAAAAGCTCCTCTGCAAAGAAAAGTAAAACCCCTAAATCAAATCTGAAGAATACAGCTCGAAAGGTGAAATTTTGATGCTTTTCTGTCTATTGGTGTTAAAAAATTATTTGTTGATCGAGATGAGGGTTTGGAGGTTGTGAATTAGGGTAGAAGGTTAGTTGGTAGTTGGGCGTTCTCTCACTTTCATGCGGGATAGGATTGGTGGTAGTACTTGGACCGCACTATTCTTGTAGTTTCTTGTTCATCGATTCCGGATTATTACCTGTGTCTTTTTTGTGCTTCGGTTATCCCATTATTTTGTTGTCATTACTGTTATTTCCTCTGTGCTTCGGTTGAGCTCCTTCTATTTATTTTCTTTGGTATTCTCTCTGTTCAGGTTGCCTTTCCTGTTATCAATTGTTTGTTGTTCTTGTTCAGGTACATCCAACTACAGAGGACAGAATATCAGCAGGAACAAAGAAGAAGCTTGCATCACCTGTGACAAAATCTTCAAGAATTTCCACTCCGACGTCAAAACCACCACCAGCTTCCAAGGTCATTTCTTCATCTCAAACATCAGTGAAGAAGGTGAATGGGGTGTCATATCAAAGAAGCAGCAATGCTCCTGTTGCACAAGGCAATAAATTACTTTCTAGATCACTCATTTCACCTTCTCAATCCTCGATAAAAAAGTTGAACGGTTCAACATTGCAAAGGAGCAAAAATTCTTCCACACTAGAGAACAAGAGGATAGCTCCCACATCATTGCACATGTCTCTCAGTCTAGGTCCACCAAATTCTACAGCTTCTACTAATACAATGAGAAAATCTTTGATCATGGAGAGAATGGGGGATAAGGACATTGTCAAGCGAGCGTTTAAGGCATTCCAAAGCAGTTTCAACCAAGGAAAACCCGAAGTAGATACGAGATATAGTGGATCAAAGAAGGTTGGTTCATATAGATCAACTCTGAACAAATTCTCTTGTCGATGCATATCTATCTCCATTTTATTGGCTTTGTAGTGGATATATCCTATCACTAAATGTGCCGCCTGTGGTTCATGTTCGGTCAGGTATTGCCTAAAGGATCAGAGCAAAAAATTTCAGCTTCTCCGACTCCTAAAAAGGAGGTTGAAAGGTAATATCAGTTGCCTTCTTTCAACTCCAAATGTATGCAAGTTGCAACACATTAGTTTCTATGACTTCTTACCTATAAGATTTTGGTATCCTCATATGTCCTACGTATTTAAATTCAAAAAATGGATCATGAAAACTGAGCATTAGTCGTGCAATTCGAAAAAGTTGCCTGAGGATTTGTTATTACGTTTGGTTTTGAAAGCTTTGTATATTTAGAAGGAAATCTCACGGTACAATTGAGTATGCCAATGCCTCTCTTATACAGATGATGTATAGAGTTTCGAGTCCTACGAACTCTCATGATATAAAACCAATACAAAGACAAAAATCATGTGCAACAACTGGAATTTTGACCACAGCAAGATTGTCTCGAAGGTAAGAAAATCATCTTCCAGAGAGGCTCTTCCTGATAGTATCGGCGACTTGATCCAGCAAGCCAATATAGTGAACTTAGAGATCCTTGGCCACAACCTTTTCTAGAACAAAATGGAAGTCCAACTCAATGTGTTTTGTCGTAGCATTGAACACCGTTTAGCTGTGAGATAGGTTGCTGAAATGTTGTCACACAAAAGTCTGGGAAGTTGAGGCAAGACAAAACCAATCTCCTGAAGTAGGCGTTGTCACCATGTAATTTCGGCAGTTACAGCAGCTAGAGCGACAATTTTCTGCTTCTTTGACCTCCAGGAAACTAAGTTATGACCGAGAAATGGTGCTCCCATGTTGAGAGAGCTGGCTGTCCAGCAATAATAGGAGTGGCAATAGGCTTGGCACCTTCTATGATTTCTTGAAGAAGTAGATCACGAATATACCAGGAAATAGTGAAGACTGCCAAGGTCTTTAAGCGCAAAATCTGTAGAAAGATGCACGACCAGATCGTGAATGAATTCGTGAGAGTTGCCTGTAACAATTAAATCGTCTAGATATACCAGAGAAAAGGTAACAGGGGCGCCATACTTATGTACAAACAGGGAGGAATCTGAGTTGGATGCACTGAAACCAAGCTCCATAAAGGCAGTACTTAGCTGTTCATCCCGTAGAGTCCGTTTAAGGTCATACAAACCTTTGTGCAGCTTGCACACATGAGTGGAAAACTTTTGTTCAATGAAGCCAGTTGGTTGTGATATGAACACTTCTTCATTGAGATTGACATGTGGAAAGGCCGTATTGTCATCTAATTGTCAAACAGACCAGCCTCTTGATAATGCAATAGTGAGGCTGTTTATTTAGTTTTATGTTTGACTATGGACAATTATTTGATTTGGGACTGTATCTGCCACAGAAATCTTGATTTCCTTTTTCATTTATGTCAGTGCCTACAGATGATAAGCATGGTTGATTTGATATAGTGTTCTTCCGCGTACCGATTTGTGTTTTCTCTCAAACATGCAAATAATTGCTTTGATTCAATGACAGATTAAGGAAGACATCAGATACGGTAATGACTCAAAAATGCCAATCAGGGACTAGATCAAACTCTCTGTCATCTCGGTAAGATCTCTGACATTCTTTTCTGAATAGTGCACTCTTTATATTCATTTCTTCCTATTTGTTGAATTTGGAAGAATGCAGAGGCAAGAAGGAGGTGGGACTGTGCCTCTTTGTAAAAATAATAAACGTTTGGATACATGCTTTCGCCTAGTTATCGCCTGCCTCATTCTTGTCAAACTATTCCGATTCAACAGCATTTTTGGACTGAGAAGTTAATTTGACTTTGAAGCAGGGCACCTAAAGATGCTGTTATAGAGAGGAAAAAGGTGAACAGTGTCAGACCTGCTGGCATGAGTATTGATAGATCAATCGATAAATTGAAGGAGGTATTAATGAAATCCAAACTTGGTTTTGCATCCTACTTTTTCTTGCTTCTAGTTAGTTAACATAGTTTCTGTTCCAGTCAGTCATATTTTACCTTTTTATCCAAGTATATAAGCTTTCTATTCCAAATGTTTAACATAATATGCAAGAATACTTCTTTTACAGACAATATTCTTCATCCTTAGTGCAAGTTCTCTGAAACATACACTTATCCTTAATGTTTAATTCATCTATTTGTTAAGTTCAACGTATCATATTAACTTTGCAGGATATCATCAAAGGTAAGATTCACCGTGCTGGATCTAATAGGTGAAGTTAAAACATTAGCAGGATACCTTCGTAGATAAAATGTTCCTCCGGGTGAGTTAAACTTGCATGTAGAAGAAGAAACATTCGAAGAATTTACTGTGTGCTTAGGCAAAAGCAAGACGAATCATGTACTCGTATTTCTGGTGTATTTGCACTCTGCTGGACTCCTGAATTCAATGTTTTGTTCTCTTACATTGAGTAAGGTATAGCATTAGAATTAATTAGATCATAGTTTAAAGTACAAAAAAGTGTATGTGAAAAGTAAAGTAGGAATGCACATGACTTAAAACTTATTGTATAATGCAATCTTTTATTCAGTTCTTTTTCTATTTCTTTTTTCGTGTCATTAAAATATAATATGATAAATGCATAATTAGACTTACGCAATCAAATTGGTTAAATACATCCGCTAAAATAAAATTTTAAAAGAAAAGAACATTATTTTCGTGAAACACCATAAAAGGAAAAACGATTTCATATAAACTCACGAAAAATATAACAATCATGATTTATGAGATTCAATTTCTATTCTCATTCACGGGTGGGAGATTACTTAATTTACTGAACTATTGAAGTGTAATAGGCATTGGACATCTAACTTCTTCAAGTAAATGATGCACCAAAACTACTACCATAAACAAAGTAATCACAATTGTCTCCTTGTAGCTATCAATCACATTTTTCTCTGTACAGACAGATTGTGTAACTTTATTGCATACAGCTCTTGATTTGTTTTTTTAAAAACAAAAAAAAAAACAATTTTCTATGGTAGAGGTTCCAAATTTTCAAAGATCCAACATGTCAGCGGCACTGAGGTCAAGTTGTCCAAATTTTGATGATCGTCAAGACAGATAAACTCAATGCACACTCATACTCCAACAAACTTAGTTAAGGCGGAGGTATCAAGAGCGGTGAACCCTTTCACAGCATTAAGCACATCATGAGCAAGTTTTACAGCATCCTCCTTGCTTGGTGCCTAAAATGATCATATAGTCTAATATCAGATTATTGTACTTGCAGAAAATTGTAAGAGCTTAAGAAACAATCAAAAGGAATAGTTCTAACCTCAATATTAAGGGGTAGAACAGGGTCATGTAGTGAGAGTCTTAGAAGGAACCATCCGCCATAACCAGAAACTCTAACCTGTCATCAAACAAAATTGATCTTTAGACTAATACTGCCAATATATATGTGTGCAGATGTCTAAGGATTAGTAAATGACAGTAAAAGGTCAGACCAACAGCAGGATACGTATGATGACTCAGCACATGCAATGACTACGACTAAACAAATGAAATATACTGGCCATAAACAGTTGCTGCTCACTAAGCTCCAAGTTGAAGGAACTATGATAAGAATTCAGTGATATCAACAAGAGTAACCTCATCTACTTCTGCTTGGACAAAAATCATTAAAAGCTTACCCCTTCATAGTTAACAGGTGCTTTCAGAAGCTTAGCGTCCAACTCAACTGTATTCTCAAGTTGCTTTAACACTGCTTCACCATAATCACGGAAGGATCTGGAGACACAAGCATGTTCCTCAATTTACAGAAATACAATAACCTCAGCCAAATTAAATTGTGAGGGACACCGTAGCATACCCTCCTTGAAGATCTGGATGATTCTGATCAATCTTTAGTCTAAGTTCAACAGCAACAGCTGGTTCTTCGAGACCCTCCACCATGTCAGTTAGGACTTTGCTGCCGCCGCCCAGTCCTGATGTTCTAGCTGATGCAAGCTTATTCAGTAACTTCACCTGCAAGTGACGGAAACCAACAAACGAGTTTTAGGACTAGTACTGAAGACAAAATCATAGAACCCAGAGATTGGTTTTGGCAGAAATGTACCATAAGGTATGCACCATCGTCAAGCCAGTGATTCTCCTTGAGAGCTCCATGGCCACTAGTTTCAATAGCCAAATGTGCTTCTTCACCAACAGAGTTCTGTCAATATGCTACTATTAAGTAAAATCTGTCTCAGAGAAACTTAAAGCTTGGTAACAAAGATTTGAATCAATACTAGAAAAGCAAAGACATTGGAAATCGACAGATTCATGAGCCATCTATTAAGGCATACTTGTTTTTCAGAGTTTTGGAGCTTGAGGCGATAGTTTCTTCAAGCAGATAAGTTTAGCAAGTTTGAATGTACTATACTAGGCTAAGCTCATGGAGAAAAAGATAAATAGATATCAGAGGATTCCAGTTCGTCTAAACGCTCAATCCTGAAAGTTTGTGATTATATTGAAGAGTGCTCAATTTTAGAAATAATCCCACAAATTTGGGTTGCTAGCTTCTCCCCTGGATCAATAATTTTCAGATTCCTTTATCACCCCTGGTGAACGAAGTTAAAAAAATTCCAATAGAAGGGAAAGTTCAGATGAAAGCATTCTCTAATAAAACTAGTCACATGTTTGTGTAGTTAAAGACTTAATAAAAGCACTTAAGCACAATGCATCCAATTCTTGGTGGAAACTAATAAATCCATGAATTATAAACAGAACGTTAAAGTTTGAGATAAGTTGTTAAATACCGAATGGAGGTCAGGGATCAAAGATCCCCTTTTTCTTTACTAAAAGCAAAAGAGTTTGCAAAGAAACAAGTAGTCTCATACAACTTTCTGGAGTAATAAAAGTGTTCAGATTATTAGGTAGGATGTTAAGTTACCTTTTCAAGAAAGAGAATTCTTTTTCTTTTGGGGGGTTGGTGGAGATTATTCAACATCATCCGAAACGTGAAGGACATCAGATATGGATCAAGCTAAAATATACCTACAACTACTATATTTTGGAGAGGTGGTACTTCTTTCACTGGAGAAAGGTGAATAAAAGAATGCTATGACATGACGACCACAAGCACATGAAAAGAATCGGAACCATTTTATTTAAGACATCATGTTGTTATCTGAGACACTGGGCAATTGGAAAATCCAGGCAACCCAAAAAGACAAAGATAAGATCCATCTTATGATGGATGTGCTAATATGTTTACAAAGATGAAGGGACCATTGAAATGCTACCATCAGAACCATGAATAAAATAACCAAATCGTACCAGACGAATAGCCTCATCAATTACATTCTTGTATCCTCTTTTGAACCTGTGATGCTTCCCTCCTGCAATAATATTATTAAAATTAGCATCCATTCTCATAACAAGGGTATCACAGGTGACTTTGACTTCTCATCTGACCTAGTTTCTTTTCAATAAATGTTGTCAGCCCATCTGATGTTACACTGTCTGTGACAATAGTGGTCCCAGGATGCTGGTCAAACATTAACAAAAGTAGTTAACAGTTAAGATGCTTGTTAGAGAAGAGTTCTAGAGACACTTGTCAAAAGGAGATACTCACTTCCTCCAAAATAATTGCGGACATTAAAGCAATCAAACGATTTCTGTTAAATTCACGACCACTCGAATCCACAGCCGCAGACCTGACCAGAACACATATCAGAAAAGGGAACCAACCAACGACTACTTCCATTGAAAGAAAAGATTTGTAGACGGCACATCACCTGTCAACATCTGTATCAAAGATGATTCCCAAATCAGCCCTGTTATCAAGTACTGCCTTGGTAATAGCTTTCATGGCTGTCTTATCCTCTGGGTTAGGTATATGATTGGGAAACAAACCTAGCATGAGAATCAAATAATTAGCAAGAGTCACAGAGAAATCTGTATGTGAAAATTGCAGGTTATATCTTACCATCTGGCTCCAAGAACTGACTGCCAGAAGTAATAGCACCCAGAGGCTCAAGCACCTTCCCCTGAAAATCAAGCAAAATAAGAATATGACCAAAGCATCTAAAAAGAACAACAATGGGAAAAAAGGTAAAAGTGATATACCCTGAGAAAATTTTAAGTTACAAATTAAGCTGATAAACAGATTTCAATATATCTTAAAGACCTTTTACATGGTCCTTGAGTCTCGTTTCCCCTAGAACAACTTCAATTGATAACAACTATTGATGCATTTTAGTCCCTTACACATTGACTAGAATTGAAAGACAATATATCAAATAAAAACATATCTTTTCTTGTGTAACCGTCTTAGTTTGACTTAACAGGCTAGCACGGATCTCAAGAGCTAACTTACAATGTATTTCAAAGAAAGTGGACCTAATGGAAGACATAAAGCTGATATTTTGATAAGTTTTAGAGTGTGGTATGCAGTTTGCATTTAAGTTTTGCAGGTATTATTAAAAAAGGTATAGAGAGTAAGGAAAGATTTATAGTTCAGGAAAGTGGGATCACGTTGGCATGGCAGCAAAAGAGAGAATAGCAATTTCTTTTGGCAATTCAAAGTATTTAAAAAATTTCAATCATGTATTACTAGCTTTTTCTCAACTTCTTGTTTTTTCTGTTCATTCCCCAGTCCCCCTAACTGTAATTCCTCATCTTTCATAATTCCTAGAAGCTCCTAAGATCTACATATCTGACTGCAGAGACGGACAATGTTAACTGCATCAAAAAATAACTCCTAAAATATCTTTTCTTAATATTGTAGACCAAGATGAATATGACTGTACTAAGTTGTTTTGATTCAACTGTGTACTAGACATCTCAAAAGTCTAATCATCCATCTATACAACATGGAATTTCCTTGTGACACTACAAATACAAGTACAACAGATACAATTTTTTACTCTTAATTGAATTCTTCACTCCTTCAAAAGGTCCTACTGTTTCTTTCCCTTGATAGTTACCAGATGATACACAATGGAGTGCATATATTTTTTTAATCTTGGGCTCCAGTTTACACATCATCCAACCGCTCCTTTCCTCCGCAACTTTGGTAGGATGAAACATTGTTGTATGATTAACTAATCAAAAGGAGGTTGTCAGATCACTAAGTTGCTCTATATTCCTAGAGATTTCAAAACCATTGAATCTGACAACGATAATGGTGAAAGACCTGATCGGTGATGTGAGATTGGACCATGGAGGTGGGTGGAGACAGATATATCCTGGTAAGGGTGTCGTGGAAATTGATAAAATAAAAAAGGTGTTGATAAGTATGTTAGGTTATGGAAATAGACCCAGCCCTATTAATAACACACACACACACATCTTTTTCTTCTTGGTTTTTCTTTTAAGTTATAGTTAGTGTTTCTCTTGGTTCAGAAGGTTTTCATGCAATGTTTGGAAGGTGAAAACTGTCAAGGCACACTACAAGGCCAAAAACTTACCACAAAGAATCCGCCTGCTCCATTCCCTGCATCAACAACGATATGGAATCCTTCCAGTGGCTTTTCTGAGAATTGAACCACAAAAGAAGGAAAAGAGAAAAAAAAAGTGGATGAGCACTAACAAGAGCCTGAACAACACTGGGTCAG